TTTATATTCTAATAATAAAGATGAATTATTTTCTCTAGCAAATTCTTCATTTTTATAATAATAGGATGTGGGCGTGAGTGTGAATGAAGAGAAGACAGCCACAGCCTTACAGTAATATCGAACGGAGACATATTCACTATATTCTTGTTACTCAGCTCGTCCGGTTAATGGCGGCTCAGCGTGACCAAAGTTGCACGGATGATTTCTCGAAGAAAAAGCGACCGAACGTATCCATTGAGCAATTTTTTATAGGTTCTCCTATATTCCTTATTGATTGATGACGAAAAGAAATGGTGGCCATCATCCAAAATCAATCATTTTTTCATCGAAGTTCAATCAAATCAAATGAAAATTTTAAACAAACTAGAAGTTGCATACATGTCGCTTCAGTGCAAATTTCAGCTCTGAGCAACCCTAAGTTATCGACTTATAACAATCAGAAGGTCAGATATGAGTGAGTGCGTTACCTGTGGACAGGCTGTACTGTATCTCGTCTTCCATTGTCTTTGATCTATAATTAATGGCACTTCTCTTTATTCTATAAAATATATTTTTTCACTGCCTGAGAATAAAAGTTCGCGCCCTTAGATCAGCAGATATGGGTGTGGGGTGTGGGGTGTGGATGTGGGTGTGGGTGTGAGTGTGGGTGTGGGTACTAATATTTTCTGTATTCACCCACACCCACAGCCACAGTTACACCCACACACCCACACTCACACCCACCCGTAATATTTGTAATCAGCACACTGAACTCTATTGAACCATATGAACATCTAATAGAATGGTGACAAATTTTTTTTTCTATCCCTGAGAAGAGCCCGATTATGGAAAAGTGAATGGTTACAAAGCAGAAAATAAACTCATGAAAAATAATTAGGGATGAGTGTTGACTCTTAGGATAATGAAACAAGAGTCAGATTTTTGGAGATGCCAAGTATATAATTTGACACGCCTCCTTTAATCGAATTCGGTGACGGTCTGGAGGTGGAAGCAGGGTGAGGTATGGTAGATTTTACCTAGCAAAATATATGGGTGAAGACAGAGGTTCGTGCGTGGAAATTGCTGTCCCATGTACTTCAACATTCCTTTCATTTAAGATTTCAGACATAGTGGTAATGAAAATTTTCTTTTTAGTTTCTCGGAAACTCTGATAGCCTACTTTGAGACAAGTTTGCTTTGCTCTGCTTTTCGACAGACACATCATAATATGCAATACGTAATGAATAAAATGATGTAAAAAATGCAGAATATTTATAGAACATCATTGAGGAAATAACCAAGTTGGGCGTTTAATTTCATTATTTAAGGAGAAAAAGCCTTTTAAGAGTCACAAAACAAACTAGATAAAGCTGTTCTGCAAACATGCAGGTTGTGAAGAACTAGCAAATATTTCAGGAGCATCATTCAGTCTTCGGCAAAGCAAAAAGATGATAACTAAAAATGATTCATGATTGAGTCACTAGAAATAATATAAAACTAAAGAGTGAGTATAAGCTACCACGATCGGTTTTGATTTCGCTCAGAGGGGGGGGGGGGGGGGGGGGGTGCGAGTGTGGGTGTAGGTGTAGGTGTGGATATGGGTGTGATGTAGGATGTGGGTATAAACGACGACAACACCAACACCCACACACACCCATCCCCACACGAAAACCTACACCCACACCCCAAATGATTCTTGTAGAAGTCCACAAAATTTGTCTCCGATTTCATTGCCAGCAAAACTCAATAGAACCATAATCTGTGCAACAAAGTGGAGATATAGATGTAAAAGCGACTAAAAGGGTGTGTAACTTTTCATGTTAATTCGTAACGTTCAGCCAAATGCCGTGCTCCTTCATCTTCAATTTTGTCCCCAACGAGTGTAGCTGGCGGAGTTTTAGGAGTTAAAGAAACACCCACATCCTCAGTTTGAATTCGGACTTTCTCTGTGAGTAAGCATAGAGTTTTCCTTTAACTGAGCATATTCTGACTTAAAAAGCAAAACCTATATGTAGTATGTGACTTCATATCGAATACTACAAATTTACTTCTGGTTTTCATTTAGTTTTCATATTCAATAGTTTACAATTGCTTAATATATGTGATATTCTCTGTTTCATAGTCATGAATATACAGTTTTAAATAGTCTACGAGCAAATATATTAATAATTTTGTTTTTTAATAAATTACAAACTGTCATGTTTAGATGATTTTTCATGGCATAAAACCCATCAAGCCTTAAATTAAAGACGAACTAAAACGGTTATTATATTGTATGTGTATTTTCATAAGAACTTCATATTCATGACAAAACTGGTAGACTAGATTTAAATTTAATCTCGATATATTTTCCTGCTGTGAGAAAAACGTAGTCAAAGAATATGGTTAAGCATTAATCGGTGCGTTTCATCTATATAATATGCATAACTGTTGAGCACGATGACTTGGTGATATACCAGTACAATGCTAGTATTGGATCTCAATTGTGGAAGTCTTTGACAGTATTTCATCATGAATATAAAAACTATTTTCGGTGTGGTTGTGTGGAGATATGAGAGAACCCACAACGTCACCCACACACTCCACGAGAGTGGCTGAAATTCCAGATAACTGATTAATCATCAGTGTATTATCTTTCAGTGAATGTAACTCATTACTCTATTGAGCATTCAGAAAACTAATTTCAGCATCGCTGCCTATATGTAAATTACGCGTTTCGTATAGCACATACACACCTATAAGCTTCCGTTTCGATTACCGTTCTCTAACGTCGACAATCATCTTTGCTGATATGAGTCAAACTCAATGTTTTAGTAACGAAATAAAATATTATCATCATGATAAAGTCTTAATACGTTTGTTTCATATTTATTCTACACACATTTGCGTCACAATATGAAGAACTGGAAGCAACCATGTGCCGTGTTATATTAGTAACAATAAACGGCAAAGAAAAATCTGAATTGTGAGAATTCATCACTGTAACACTTTTTCTGTTCTTATTTACGAATGACGTACGAATCCTTCACTCATCAAGCCCACCTAATTTTTATTCGATTCTGTCAAACAACTATCCTTTTTCTCTGTTTTTCGCACATAACGAAAAATTGAGAATAAAAGAGCGTGTAGATATCTAATAACTTACAACACAATTTACATCACAATGCACATTATATTTCGTCTACTCTTACTTGTAGCACTCTTTACAACTCTCAGTTATAGCCAAGGCGCTCGCGGTGGAAGCCGAACTGGTGGAGGGTTTCGAAGTGGTGGTAAGTCTTTTATATAAAATACGAATATTTTCGATAAAGTATATGGATGAATTCTAGGTAGTAGAGTCAGTGGAAGTTGCGTAGGATCGCATTGTCGGTCAACGGGAATTATTGCTGGCAGTGTGATTGGTGGTATTTTTGCCTTCCTTGCGATTATTTTCTTCTCTGTTTACTGTTACAAACGATATCGACGTCGACAGATACAGTCAAATGCTACAGTCAGCTATCAAAGCGACCGTGGAGGCGATCATAAAGTTCGTCCAATGAATGAACCAGCATATTTCAAAAGTGGAGATTGGACAAGTCGATATCATCAATATGGTCGTTGGCATGGACCTCATCAAATATCACTCATGTTTGATTCGTATGCAAGTAGAGTGACTGGACATGGATACGACGATGTTGGTCCATTCACTATTAGTGGGACATTTTCTGTAGAAAATCAGCAGATAGCGTTGAACAAAAATTATCAACCAGGTGCTGGTGACCTTAAAGAAAACTTCGGACATACAGTAACTATACAATTGACGTGGAATCAAAATCATGCACAATTCGAAGGCAAATGGCGTGTGGAAACTAATAGCTATCGTGGTGAAGACAAATTCGAACTAAAACTTGGAAAGTCTTCGTAAAGAACCCTTTAAAAAAAAGCGGACAAGTGAAACATTTGCTTTAATATTATTTTATTGTAATTGTTTGTAGCTTGTTCAAGAATATTTTTTGACTTAAAATCTACTTTCAGATATAAAATAGACAACAAATTGTCTAAATTTGTAGATTGAAGATAAAATGAACGAACATGTGAAGATTCATACATTCTAGAATAAAAACTAGTGGTACTTGATTCTTTTTTAAGAATTTTATATGCACAGCAACCAAAGTATAAAAAACCATATATAACTCAACTGTATCGATCCATTTCTACTCATCGTTTTCTTTCAACCCTTTGAGTACTGGCGACGCGAATTCGCGTCCTGATAGTTTAGGGTCTGAATAACTTTAGAAAACATGATTGTTTGATTATTTTATGATATGAATTACATGAATATTTGCGTTTAAGATATTTGTACGGTTAAGACTATCTGTACCTAGTGATAAATATTGGTTGTTCCCTAATATTTCTATCGACCATCATGTGATTCAATGAATTAGAACATAAGTCATTGGACAACATTTCCTAAGAAAGAATAATCGTTATCAACAGAATTTTTCATATTAACACAGTCATTCAAGAGTGTTATCTATAGTAAAGGTTCTGATCAATTGATCACATTTTATAACATTTTCCTTCGCGCATTGAATCAACAGAGACTCAACTAAATCCAAGAAGGAAATATTACGTTTGTGCCAATACTGTGAGAAGAGCCAGATTAAGAAGAGATACTTCGTATGAATGCATTGAATGTGACGTGAGATGGTGTCTTATGGATTGTTTTAAAGACTATCACACTCTACAAGCATTTTAATTCATGTACTTTGTGATAGTTTTTGCGAAATAAACGTTAGTCTGAAATTATAAAAATTTTTATTATATAAAAATAATCCGGTACTTAAAGGGTTAATATGTCTTATTTATAGAGAAGTACAAAAAAAGGTGCAATGAATCGCTAAAATGATATGAAAAATGTCTTTAATCCATGTATATACTTTCAATACTTCTTTTTTTATTTGCCTATCATCGAAAAAACAATTGCTTGCTGTTGACGACACATCACTTAACTTTGAAAAATATAAGTAATGAATAAAAGAAAAAAATGTCGTCAGCAAGCGCATGTCTAGTTAGAGAAAAAGAAAGAAAAAACAAATGCAAAGATGTTGTAATGTAGACATTTCTTGATGTTTTTTCATCTGTTTTATATTGAAGAACAACAACACATGTTTTTTTCCTAATATGAATGAAACACTCGAAACACAATTATATAACACACTTAAAAATAATTGCAATTCAGAAATGGTCAAAAATTTGATTGAACAATGCGTCGATTGTAATTTCTCTCGTTTTAATAATAATCTGTCTGATTTTAATCGGCATTTATCATATTTTCTTCGCAATGTATCTCATTTTGATCGATTAACTAACACATTTATTTCTTCTATCCAATTGGCTGCAAAACTCGGTCGACACGAGGAACTTCTTCTTCTTTATGAGCATCGTAATAGTCCAACAAAACTACAACTTGAAAAACGTTGGACATTCTATATCAATCATTATGATCGATTACATAGAGAAAGAAATGAAATACTTTTTGATTATACTGTAAGTCGTCTTCTTTATACTCGTATTACTACTGAACATACTGAAATAGAGTTTGATAATCTTATTCCTGCTCTTCGTGATATAGATAATGCCTCTCATCGTGGACGAAGCTTAAGTGATGGATCTAGACCAGAAATATTTCTCCAAGTGCGTATTTACACTCTCGTCCGAACAATTATTGATAAGAAGATCAACAAAGATGATTATATGATCGAAATTATTGAAAAAGAACTTTTACATAATTTAGAAACATATTATTTTATTATTGGAATATTACTTATTCCAGTAGATATTACTAAATCAATGATGAATCAAAGTTTTTCTCAAATAAAATCGTCACAATCATTATTAATAAAATATTATCGAAAAATCGCAAAAAACCTCATAAGTAAAATAAAACAACTTGAAATTAATGATGAATATACTATTCCAACTGGTTGGAAAGAACATGCTGTTTGTGTTTCATTTCGACGTATTAGTCAAACACATTTCATTATTCGAATTGACAATCCTAGTTCTAAAAATCCGCTAGATATGCACGAAATCAAGCGTTTTAAGGATGGTGATATACGAATTAAACCCAAAATACTCGGTCAATTGCATGTGCACAATTTAGATGCGAATCTAAATAATTACTTTGTTTTACTAATTGATAGTGTCAAACGAGATTTGACATTAGAAAAAGGTCGTTTATTGATCTATAATCTCAATGAGAAGATTCGTCATCTCGAAGAAATACAAATTGATAATGTACCTTGGTTTATTGAACAAGCCAATGTCAACTGTGTTGTCAAATGCTTTGAGCCCGGTTTATGGCTACGTATTGGTGAAATACATCAGGAACTTTATTACCAATTACTAGATTTAGAAAAATACAATTTAGATGTACTTGCGAGACATTGTAAAGAGGAACATATACGTAAACTCGATGATATTTTCGATCGATTTAATTCATTAGCAGAAGACGAAGATATAAATAGTCTACCTACTGTAGAACGAACGCGTCTTCAGATTAAACTGAAAAACAGCTATAAACAATATTATAAACATCTATCTAGTAACACAAATATTGAACATTGTCCTCTTTTAGATGATAAATATGTTCATTTACGATTCGAACATAATATTACACGAACACGAATAGAACTAAAAAATCTTTCTATTAAATCACATGTTCTTATATTAGGTGAAGCTGGCTGTGGTAAGACAACAGCCTGTCAATACATAACATATTCATGGGCTATTGGAAAATTATGGCGAAATAAATTCGAATGGTTATTCTATATTAAAATGAGAAATTTAAATTCAGAAGTCTATCCACCACGATCTAATAAGTATTCTTTAATCGATATTATTGAAAAAGAATGCTTTACAGGAGGCGAACTTCATCATTTAGACAAACAAAAATTAACAAATCTTTTTGAGAATTCATCAGATATTCTTTGGATTCTCGATGGATGTGATGAACGAACGATTCCAACTTATTTACTTCCGATCGAACAAGAATTATTTGACAAATCATGTCTAATTCTAACATCTCGCCCGTATGCAACATATGATTTCCATTACGATATTCAACTTCAGATTTTAAGTTTCACTGATCAAGATATTGAAAAATATATATACAACTATTTTTCGTATATCTTTCGAACTACTGCCAGGGGATGCTGGTCATTTATTAGTGATTCTAGAAAACTCTTACAAACAGCATGTGTTCCTGCATGTCTCGAAATCATTTGTAGTTTATGGGAGACTGGAAAAGTAAAATTAGATGATCAAATGACTATTGGAGAACTTTATCAGAAAATGTGTGACCATCTTTTACAACAATATTTGCTAAAGTTCCATCGTCTGTGTAACTCCGCTTTAGCTCAAAGAGATATTTATCAAGAACCCAATGCTGTAGCATTTGTCTACTTGGAATGTTTGGCATTTGATGCAACAAAAGAACATCGATTCACGATCACTGGAAAAGAAATAACCAACGTTGCAGGTCAACTACGCCTCTCCGTACTACAAATTGTTTTACTTATACCTCAAACACGAAACTCTTCGCCTTTAATCCTCGAAAATATCTATTATTTCGTTCATCGCACCTTTCAAGAATATCTTTCTGCTCGTTATATGGTCAGAATGTTAGAATCATTCGGTTCAAATGATCAAAAGAAAGAAGTTATTCGATTCATAACATATGAAAAATATAATCGTCGTATCCAACATACATTTCGTTTATTCTTCGAGTTAAAACGATCTCCTTCATGTATTGAGCAATTTTGGTCAACTATTGATAGTGAACCACGAGATTTAGTTGGTCTTCGACATTGTTCTCGTATTGCTCATTGGTTTCCTAATGGAACATGTTCATTTTCTGCCGAGGATCAAAACGAGATTGATCAGAGGGTGAACAAATCCGTACTAACATGGATATCAAATACAGATCGTCTACCTAATGATATTGCAAACACATATATATTCGAATCATTTGTTGGACTCACAGGTCATCAGTGTTGGATAGATGCGTGGAAAGAAGATCTTTTCATAGAAGATCCATCTAAACGGCATTATTTTTTAGTTGATTTATGGTCAGAAGAGAATATCAGAGTTCTTAAAGAAAACTATGATCATATTTCGAATGATTTTGAAGGATTACATGATCTTATCGAAACAGGACCTAATACAATCAGTCTTAAACGTTTCAAACTTCCATCCGATCTATTTACTTTATACGAAATCAGTGATGAAACTGAATTCTTAACGTTTTTGAAAGAAGTACAAGAACAAGCCAAAAGACAAGAACCAATTACCACTCGAGAAAACTTTCAAACACTTTTAGATAATTATGACTCTTTCGCTAACTTAAATCGTCAATCAGCAGCACACGGATCAATAATATGGAAATTGAAAATTGCTCCGTCCGCGTTGGAAAACATCAACAATGAAACGTTACATCGTCTTGCAATAATATCAAAAGAAAATCTACTCTTTTTTCGTTACTTTGAATTACCCGTGATTTATTTTCTTAATCTCTATGCTAACGAAAATGACATGAATTATGATATTCTTTCAATTATCATTTCGATTACTATGTCAAGCGATTGCATTCTCACAGCATCACCCGAACAAAAGAAGTTGATTCGAGTTCATGAAAAAGAGTCATATACTGATATTGAAATGAATGAACATCGACGGTCTAATCTTATTCATGCATTTGAACATGCTCGCAACACCTATGGATATTCTTCCTTTTTTAGACATGATCAATAAATTTTTATATATTTATTTATTTATTTATTTATTTATTTAGTTTGATTTTAATAGAAAAAGTAACGAAATTGTTTGAAAGATTCTCACGTTTTGTGAAAGGTTCAATAGTTAGATTTGTAAGGTTATATCACAAACATATGTGAAAACTTTGTTCTAATCTTAATATAGCCATTCAATAAGATACTGTGGAAGGATCTTTCGAGATGCTATCAAGTTTAATAAAGAATCTTGCTTGAAGTCTTATCTAAACATGATTCTTTTTCGAATTTCTTCGAATTCTGCTCAGATTGTTGTATGCAGTGCGGACGCACCATGTTGTGCCGATTCACTCTTCATCCTACAGAAGATCTCGAGACAAATCATGGAAAGGATTATGTCACGATTTTGTCATGTTTTCATGTGGATCTATTTGAGATGTTTGTGTGAGGAGTCTGTTATAAGTTATAGTTACATGAAACAAAAATCTTATCAGGAATAAAGCCTGATTAGTCATTATTTTAAACGATGAATATAATGAAGTTTCAGTCATGATCCTATTTGATTTCTGATCATTTCTGTAATATGGATCTTTCTTAACTGTTTCAGGATCATAGTCGAACCTTTTCAAGAAGAACTTTGTTAATTTTTGTTTCGGATCTCTTTAGGATTTTCATATCTTGAAAATCTAATAAATGTCACTATTGATGTTTAAAGAAACATTGGTATTATTTCAAATCAAATTAGAATCAACACAAAACAGTATAGAAATTTTCCTCGGAGCGTAATACAGATATTTTCGAAAAGTAATAGCAAACAATAGATTCACTAATCACACAAAATAAAACATGCTGTATTACCAAGAGATTTATTCATTCACTAGCAACAGAAAGGTGTGGGTGTGGGTGGCTGTGGGTGTGTGGGTGTAGGTGTGGGTGTGGGTATGGGTGTGAATGTGAATGAAGAGAAGACCTATACACCGACACCCACCCGCACCCACACCCTCACCGTTTTTGTTTCGTATTTGCTCGTTTTTGTAATGAGACGAATGCATGAATGTAACACGTTTGTTACTCTTAAGACTTTACATTCTTATTTATAGGATAAAATACGGAAAAAATAATAATTAATGTTTTTTACAATCTATTCATCTTACATATATTAATCATTACCTAATTAAACTATTTTTAGTAATGAGGGAGGAAAGAACTACGTAGTATAGTTCTCGTGATTTAAAACTAAACGTAAAAAGAGAAGTCAAAAGGGAGTAATAAGAGAAGCGAGAGGAAGTAGAGAAAAACTGAAAGTGTCACTTTTCCGTTCCAAGAGTATCCAAAACGGGTTTATAGTAGTTTTACATTTTAATACCAAATGAGCTTCGCTGAAAGCTTTTAAATAAATTTAAAAATTGATCAAATGTTTTTAATTTGATGAAGACAATGAGAGAATGACGTGGCTTCACTGCTGAATGTCGAGATAAGACATTGAATTAGCATCAGAATTCACTATCATCCTCATCAATAGAAGATGATTATGTCAAGAGGTTACAACTTCGCTCACTTACAAGCTGCACTCTCGCCAGAGACACGGGTACCCTTCCTCAAATTCGCTTGTGGATACACTCAACTGAGATGCTTTAAACCGTGTATCTTAATGAGAACGATTGATTCTACGCTTTGTAAACGGTAGCATGTAGTAGATTATAGTTTTAAAAACATATTATAGACAAATACACAGACGAAATGAATTCACTTATCCCAAGATTAGTGCAATAGAACGAAAATTCACTCGCTTCTCATTGAATATTCGATGGAAAGTGTTGTCAACTGTATCGAATCAATCATCTTGATTTAATTAGAACATATCACAATAAATACTTTCTCCTTTGTCGAAAAGCAGTTCGCATATCGAATTCATCGAAACCATTTGTTAATATTTAATTTTTCGAAATACAATGAGATCATGTACAAAAGAAACAATCAACAGATCTTTTCTGCAAACAACGCATATACTTTAAAATATGTTAGAAAATTGTTGGTTGCCCTACATCTCTGACTGAGTTAAAACGCAAGTCTTTCCAAGTCATTGCCAATAATTTATTTTCCTTGAAAATAAATCTTACTGTGTTAAGAAAATTTTCAACAAGATTTCAATGAAGTCGTCATTTCTTCACTGAATGATTGTCAAAGATTAAGAAAACTAAACTCTCTCAAAGATCAAATAATCTCATGTTCTTTAAAGAAAGTAATTCGAAACTAAATTTTAAAATAAGAAAAGGGTAGCAATGCTAACTTAATTGAAACATATTCAATTTTGGATGAATCGACAACTCGATATTATGCTCGCTCTCTCGTCGAGTTAATGAGTTATGTTACGATTAGGCATTGATGGCTAATATATGTAAGATGAATAAATTGTAAAAAAACATTAATTATTATTTTTTCCGTATTTTGCCCTATAAATAAGAATGTAAAGTCTTAAGAGTAACAGACGTGTTACATTTATACATTCGTATCATTACAAAAATGGTCAAATACGAAACAAAAATAGCGACTATTGCTGTTGTTCTCGTCATGATAATCTTTCACATTGGTGTTATTAATGGTCAACAATGTGTTACCAATTCTGGTAATGGTTATTGTTGTTCTGCTGCATATCCTATGTGTGTTCAAGGTTTCCTGAAATGTTGTCCATCAAGAACAATCTTTTATTACAATGGTTACTGCTATTTTCGATCAGGAAAATCTACTGGTAATGATACAAAAACAGCTTCAGCAGATGTAGCTTTTACTATTATATAAACAATATTTATGTTTATTTACTGATTTGCTTATTTATTGTCTTATTCATGTGGTTTTTATTTCTTCTCAATAAATTAAATCAAGAGCGAGTTCATACACTCTAACAAAAGTTGCAGAATAATCAAGGATAGGGTAGTGTAAATGTGGTTGTTATCTTTATTCACCCACATCCTAATAACTCACATATTCAACTTCTTTGAAAATAATCAAGCTTTTTCGATCGTCAAAATCTGGCGTTAGCTACTTGAAATTTTGAAAATAAATTTTTCTCATTTTAAACGTTTTTTTTTAATATTTCAACTAATAGAGAATCACATGTTGATTTATATTTGATAAAAACTGTATCGGTATGTAGAAACGTTTATGTTAGCTTCTGAACGATCTAATTAAATTAAGCATGAAAATCAGGTATTTCGAGGGATCTTGTTTTGATAAGGAACTCCAGGCTATTCAAGAATGTCCTTGGTCTATTCTCGCTTGTCTGCATAGCACTGAGCATGTAGCTCAAAACCAAAGAAACCTGACTAGTATGAACCCAGTTTCCTACTACAACCCTTTGCTCTCCTTCCTCCATCGTCACCCATAGTCTATTTGGATCGAAATTGCATTTTTGATGAAGGCATTTTTTAAGTCACAAGAGGTAGTTAGATACCTGAAAATTTTATCAGAATGAATACTCTATAAGATCGCTCTCTAGCTAAAATTCAAGCTGTCTCAGATGATCCGTTCTTACAATATAGACATGCACAAAATACTGATAAATGATTCTTTACCATCTATTTTATAATAGTGGTCAACCGCTTAACGGTTCACCTATTTGTGCTCACGTTTTCGCTGGCGGTACTTCTAACTCACACACAATAACCATAAAAACTTCACGTTGAATAAATGCATCTACAATGAAATAAATCCATCCGAAAAAACGCAAAAAATATGTTCATGAGTGTCTGTGACCGGTGTGAGTGTAGGAGAATACCCGTACCTACGTAATTCTTTCGTTATTCCGTCGTGAGGACTTAAGTGGCAAAGCAAAATAATCAATATTCTAGGTTTTTGTGAGAAAAGAAACATATATTCAAGAAAAAATAGTGATAAGAAAACGACCAAGAACTTGTTCTTGAAAAAATGGAACGCAATTTATTGGATAACAACACGTTCAAGAGAAAAGAACGCGTTTGGACTCGTTTCACAAAATAGCAGAATGGACTTGAACCCATTCTTAATAAAGAGAAACCCATTTCTTCTTAAGGAGAACGCGTTCTCATTGAACTCGTTTGAAACATCTTCAAAAAGAACACATTCCTACAGACTCAGAACGTGTTCATAATTCAGATAGATTCGTTCAAGAAAGAAGCGATGTTTAGTTATAGGAAACATTTTTTATTAATGAAGTATATATTTTTAAATTGTTGTTCAATTCTCGAAAGAAGAATTTTCGAAAACAAAATCCTCGAAACGCAATATCTTGAAAGACAATATTTCGCAAAACTAATATCTCGAAAAATAAAATACAGAAAAAGCCGATTTCGAACAGAAAAAACTTGAATTTTGCTACATCACATTTCCAAAAAGAAAATCTCGAAAGATGTCCTCTCATTCTACGATCACTTGGTCAGTTTAAAATAGATATTGTGAAGTGTAGGTGTGGTTTAAAACAAAAAACGCACCCACGCCCTTGATTTCTCACTTTCGTATACTAGTGAATTTGCATTTATTTCAAATAATAATTTTTTTTATTAGCACACTATTCTTTATCGATGTATCACGCAAAATTTTTGGTCATTAAGACGATGGAAAAGTTGAAGTAAGAAAAAACATTGATTTTCTTGTATCAATGGAAATCAATAGTGACTCCGATATGTTTGGGCAACATAGTCAGTTTTTGAACAAATCCACCTGCATTAACTTCAGGACCACCGTCGCCAAATGTCACTTGTTGCAACATACGAGCTAGAATTACTTTTATTTCGAAAAGAGCCAAATCTCGTCCAACACATTGACGATGACCATTTCCAAATGGTAGAAATGCATAAGGATGATGATTTTTATCTTCATTAAGAAATCTTTCTGGATAGAATAACTCAGGATCAATTTTCCAATGACGACTGTCTCGACCGAGAGCAGATGTCGGAATAAGTATTTGATCACCTTTGTAAAGTCGAGTGCCACTTTTTGGAAGACAATCGTCGACCATCACTGAACGACATGTTGAATCAATTGTTGGAGAATAACGAAGTACTTCATTAATAAAACAATCCAAATATACGAGTGAGTCGAGGTGATCCAATGATAAATGTTGACTGCTAGTATTTTCCATTAGTTCTGTCTTGATCTTTTGTTGAACTCGTGGATGTTTACTTAGATGATAAATGCACCAAACAAGAGCAGTAGATGTTGTTTCATAACCAGCAATCAAAAGCATGAGCACTTCATCAAAAACTTCTGCTCGTGATAGACCTGTCAACAACAGAATTGAAGAGATAAAAGAATAAAACTGCAAAATGAATTACAATTAAGGTTTCATTCAAAAAACATAGTATAACAGATTGACAGTGTGACTGGAGACGTATGGGAAAAACTATATAAGGTATGTTGAAGAAGACGTTATTTGTGATATATATCATTAGATAGAATTCAAGTTCACTCAAGGGCAACAACTAAATGTTTTCATATTATTATTGAGAACGTTTCATCTGATGTAAATCAGAGACAATCAATAAGACAGTTTGATCGATAATTGTTTCTAGATATTTTCGCTTCTGTTCTAATAACATGCAGTTGAAAACTAAAAAATAACTCTATCATGCTGAATAACAACATTACTCTAATTTTCAATTCACTAATTTTAAAGCACTTCATTGTCAATATCGCACGTAAGAAGTCTAATGTTTTTTTCGACTTCGTACATTGTTGAGCTAATTGTTCTTATTTTTAATTAGTTTTTCCAAATATACGAAAAACAACTTGTGAATGGTACACAATATGCCACACATTCTCAAATAATTTTCATAATGAGCTATGCGAGACAAGATTTGTATAGACTTGGACATCTGCCTTAAGTTTTCTTTAACTTTCTTGATAAGTATCTGGTTGACGTGTTTAACACTGAGAATGGGTCTGTTTGTTATGTCAGTTGATTTTCTTAACTATATTCAAGTCAAATTATCACTCTCAACAAGAAAGTATCAAAATAGAAACAGTAGTTGCTGATGGCAAACATGGATCGAGTTATTCAAATTTTAAGGTATTGAAAACTTAGATACATGGGCTTTGACAATTATAAGCGATCAACATGCATATATGTTTAAGGCTTTATTTTCTTTTCAAGAAGTAATGTTATTGATGTGTTGAATATATATTAATGCAAATATAGATCTCTAGTCTCTCTTCTTATTGTTCAGTTCGCTTGCTTATGGTTATATTTGTATGAAATCTGATAAAAATCAATAAAAATAGTATCTCAAAATTAAAGAACACTTCATCTGAGAAACACAATGCATAAAACCAGAGATTGACCTAAATTTTGATGGCTCGTGTACAGTTAGCTATGATAAAAAACAAAATAATCACACTTATTACTTTATGACGTAGTACCCACGACACATCGATAGTTGTCAAATACTAGAAAAGCGACTAAATCTTTGCTGTGATAACCTTGAGTTAGAATTTGACGTATTCAGAATTGGCTTAATATCTTAATACAGCTTCATTGTAAAAACGTCAGATAGAATCGAATGACTGAAATACACTGCAGCTTATTACAATAAAAATATATCTAAGATATGGATAAAAGAATATCAGAATGTTCATCGTAACAAACTCGATTCTCTTATACGAACACTTGAAAGTAAAAAGTCGACAGGTCAGTATCTAGTCTAATATATTTAGATCCTTTGATGAGATTTTCTTTAATTTGGAGACGATAGTTTCATTGTTTTTTTATCAAGCTTCATACAAATATAAACATAGACCAATGAGACTACAGATATATATTTGTATTAACATATATTCAACACATCAATAACATTGCTTCTTGAGAAAAAAATAAAGCCTTATACATACATGCATTTTGATGTCTTATAATGGTAGAATCCCATGTATGGAAATTTTCAATACCTTAAAATTTGAATAACTCGATCTATGCTTGCCATCAGCAACTACTGTTTCTATTTTGATACTTTCTTGTTGAGAATGATAATTTGACTTGAATATAGTTAAGGAAATCAACTGACATGACAAACAGTTCCATGTAAATTGGAAAAACTAGCCGTTTGACCTCTGATAGGTCTAAGTTTTTAACTGCAGGTATGCACGCCAACATGAATCGTATTTCCCTGTTTCACATTAAAGTATTGTCAAAAGAACAGCATAGCAAAGTCATCAAGGATGAAGTAGGTTCCCAAAACTTGCTTGATAATGCGCTTTAGGTGATTCCCACATGTTACTATTCCTTCAATGTTCTTTGAAAAATCCCGGACCCTATATAATGTAATGTAAAGTTTTATGAGATATGAGGTACTACAAATTTAAAAAACTGAGTAATTAGCATCATGCAAGAGGAAACAATTGTTAACCGATACGAATTCATTTTTGATAAGTAAAATAGATCTATGTGTATGATTTGGATTCTTCATTTTCTTTTCATTCGTACAAAAATTTAACAATACAAATGGGTAAATTATCAGATTTCGTGTATTTAACTTCAAATCGAATCAATCTATTATACTTGATTTCATCTTATAAAAGTACCGTCACGGCTACAAATGAAGTTTTCTCTTTGGCTCTTGAGCGATCTGAAGTGTTCAGAATGAATTACTAAATGGAAAAGTGGTCTAATAGCACAAAAGAACCATCAAATGAGTACTGTTTCAACGCTAAGAGCTCCCATACAATGCATATAAGCATTCGTTGTGTGGGAAGCCGGTGCAAATGAAATTTTTCAATCGTAATTATTCGATAAATTTGATTGCATTATATTGAGAGGAAAGACTCAATGCAAAAATACACAATAAATCATTGGAAACAATGATTTAATTCAAAATTTACAGAGATAAACTTTACCTTTTCTGTCTTCCTCCTTTTTTCTTGCTTCATCTGCTTCATCTGTTTGCAATGAACTAATAAGTGATGCGATTAATGAAGTTTTCTTTCGTTGTGCCCTTAACTCTGGACTTTCAGCCAATTCTTGTTCGACTATTTTATTCAGATATCGTTCAACTGTTGCCTTAGCTTGTTTATATTGACGACTTAATTTCATATAGATCACTGATACAAATATAGGTGCATATATAGCCATTTTAAATGTACTCATGATATCTAGTAGAGCTTTAGCCATTTCATTCTTATTTCTTGAATCATTGCCATCGAATATCGCCAAATCGTAATCAAAAGCAATTAATCCAAAGATTTCAAGGAGCAGATTTTGACATTGCTCGATAATATCTGTATGCACCTGCTCCGATGATCTAGCACGCCATCTATCTAAGAATTTATCAGTAGCATCAATTATTAAATTTATGTTCGAAATAATCTTGCTACGACGAAATAATGGCATAGTGACAGCACCATGTCGTTTGAATTTAGAACCTATTAATCAAAATGAATACATTTTTGTCACAATTAGAAAAAATAAACTATACCTATGTTACATATAATACTTTCAGGAAATAAAATGCTAAATCTTTCTAAAAATATTTGTCCTTGATCATAGATATTTCGATGAGTAAAAATGTACTGAACATCATCAATATCATGTACAACAACAAAATGCATGAAACCAAGCCAATATTGATAAATATCACCAAAACGTTTCTTTAATACTATGTAGACTTGAGATGTGGGTCTCTTACCCAATAATAAACCTGATTGAATAAGATTTCCAAAAATAAGATGTGGAGATAAGCCAGGTATTGGACCACGAAGTGTAAAATATTTTAATTTTAGGTAAATCAGCAGTAAGATGATGAAAAAAAGCAACAGAATAGTCACCATTTTAATAACACGTTGAATAAGAAACCAGTGATGTCAGTATGCAAGGGTAGATATATTACTTGCATGCACGTCTTATCTTTCTTCCCTTTATTTTCTTTTCTTTTCTTTTGCTCTCCTACGCTATATGAAACCAATACTATGGCACACAAACAGATAAACTCGCAAGTTATATTTTTAAATAAGTACGTGTGAGTTATTGTCTTTCACAAGTCATTGATATTTTAGTGGAGTATCTCCCGCATTCTGATTGCATCTATCAATTGGATATACATCACAGAAGATTCATTGAGATACGACCTGTTTCCACTACTGCAAGAAGGGTTATACATCGAGTGAGTTACCTTTGTTCGTTCGTTCTCATAGAACAAAAAGCCATTTCTTTGACCTTTGACGGGTCTATCTTTCATAAAATTTATCAAGACAGACTTCGAGAGCAGAAAATGCAGCCAATCAGATTTTTTCTTGATTAGCGGTGATTGGATCTGGTTGCATCAGATCTTCTTTCTGTGCATACATTCAACTATTTAGAATATTTTTCAGCAGACACTGTTACTCGTAGGACGGATGGGCTGTGGGCGTGATTGTATGAAATAGAGATCACCTATATCCACACTCACCCTACTCCACACCCTAATCTGGAAGGAAGTGGAGACAGAAAACCTACACCAGTACGATACATGGCGATGACAATTGGAGAAGCTTTATGGACAATTTGTTATTGATAATCTAACAACAGCAATTGGTCGATTGAAGTTTTACTCACTTCGTCCGAAAAATGTCAAGAAGCTTTGTCCATATGATGCATGTGTATGCATAGAGCACGAGAATATTTTATTTTTACTTCAGATACAATTGAATATTATTAAAGAAATATTTGATTCATCTAAATGTTTATATAGGGTGTGGGTGTGGTTGATGTGGATGGGAGTGAACCTGTATTCCTATAACGTACACCTCACCAACATGCACACCCACCCACACCCATAAGCGCCAGGTGATGAAAACTTGATTGGGGTTAGTTCGAACAGCCACTAAGCCTCTGTTCAGCTTCTCTAATTGCTTCTGTGTATCTGTAATGAAAACCTAGATCAAAACGAAGGATTAGATTAATCTATGATGGTCAGATATTTGTTCTCGTAGGGAGGATTCAGCACTGGGTAGATTTTTCTTCCACTCGTTCTTGTACTTCTTTTATCTCAGTATTCAGCAAGTCTCCTATCGTACGTCTCAACCTCGTCACAGTTGAAGAAAGTTCAATATTTGGATGAAAATTCAAATCAATGAAGGTATGTTGTTGGTGGATTCTCGACCTGAGTATAAATGGTTTGATAGGAGGATCTCTCATTGAAATATTCAACTCTTCGAAAAGGTATAATTCGTCTGATAAACAGAGGCTGATGAAGGATCAAAGGAAAACTTTACATGTATTTTAACGTTCAGAACTTTCTAAGATGAGATTCAGTATAGACTCTTTTTGAAACTATCCTACCTTGTATGAAACATTCATGGTTTAATGCTAAGAAAATATTACCTAATAGTAGAGTCAGTTGGAGTAATTCTGATCACTTAACAAAAAAATCACAATATTTTGGTCACTTTTCAGTCATTTTACATCGGAAAAAAAGATTTTTTTACCAGCATATAGCCCCAAGTTGGTTTCTATCAAGCTATGTAAAAATCTTTCCAAAAAACTCAATATTTTCAGTGAGTTTTTACGAAAATACTAAAAGCCCGATTAAAGTGATTATAATTACCCCAACTGAGGTAATTATGATCACTCCAGCAAAAATGGCAAGAATCTCAATTTGCCAACTTCTAACTCATCATCAGTAACTTGTAATTAAATAAAAAATATACCATTCGATCGTCCAAAGTCTCTTCTACGGGACTTGAAAATTACTCGTCAATCGGTCAGACTATCGCAGTTTAATCCTTAAAATACTGGGAACCTACTAAAATTGTTTTTGCTTTTAAAATATGATCTAGGGTAATTACAATCATTCCAGCAATTTCTGCTCGAGATGACTTTGAAAACCTCTACAACTTTTCCACTACATTTTCAAGTATCGGTGCTGAGAGAAAAGTTGTTCGTGTCACTTAGAATAAGCAGCCATGACCGGTTTTGACCTCGCTTAAGGGACTCATCAGATGACATTATTCAAGTTCATCATCATAAAGTGGCAATAAAACTGCCATCAACTCATAGAATAGAGGAGATACAGTATTAAAATGTATGAAGATGAAATTGAATGAACCCATCTCATGAGATCTTTAAGTAAGGTCGAAACCGATCATGACTATTTATTCTTATTCTTATTGTATGTTTACCCTTTGCTTATAAATTTTCTCTAACAAGTCTGTCTCTCGACTTTCGAAATTATCTTTCATCTTTGGGAACATATTGTATCCAATAAAATAAAACATAGCTAATTTGAGAATGAACTGTCTGCGAGTCGCATATTTTCACATTGATATTTTCTAGCACTGTCATTACACCCTGATTGACATTCATCATGAGCAATTCCTCTCGTCTAGTCCTGGGATGTGGGTGTGAACCTTTCTTTATTCAACACGCGCATCCACACTCACACGCTAAAAGGTAGAAATGTTTTATCTAATGATCTTGCACTAATAGTTTGTATGACTATTATTAGAAACGTGAGGGACAAGCTTTTTCATGTTTCGAAGGTGAAAAATCTTCTTCTGAATTTTTTTTTCTTGAACTGTTCTATAAAGTGCCATTTGTTATAAAGTTATCATTTTGTCAAAGAAAGGTTCGTCTTTTCTCTATGACAAATAGAAAAAATGTATTCGAATGGATGATTATTCGATAAATCAGCAATTTTCTAATAAAATGTGGCATCGAAAATTGTTACTGCATCCAAAGAAAATAATTGTTACAGTGCATTTCTATAACATACCTCGATCCTATCTATTCTGTTTTCTTTGATATTTTCGTTTCTAGTATTTCATTTCTATTGCTTTTCTTTGTCCTTGTTTACTCGACTGTAGGAATGGTTATATGAAATAAAATGCATTTATTTGTATCTATGTAGATCAAAAGAACATCGACTTAAAGATCAATGGAGTTCTTTTCGATATCTAACACCTGTAAATTTCAGCAAGAGTTTTAGAGAGTGATGAATCGAGTGGTATCATCAGTTTTGAAATTTTTTTTTATAAATTTTTCATCACTATATAAGGCGTTTTTTAAAGAGAATAACGACTTTTTGTAGAGAAGCAAAGCTGTGAAGAAAGTATATTTTTTGTATTTTGTTTCGAGGTGTTTTTTAAATATTTCTATTTTAATTAATTCAACGAGGGAAATGATGTAATTAAAATTTTATACACTGAAAATGTGAAAAACTCAAGAACGAGTTTATGATGTCTCACGGTCTCGGTCTCGGTCCTGGTCTACACTATCGAGATCAGCAAACTAAAACGAGTCCCCACATTTCTATATAGCTTTTGCTCATTCTGTCTAATAGCTTATTGTAATTGTTTTAATCAAATATTGTTTAACTTTTATTTCGTTTGATTGTACAATATCATTGTTCAACGTCTATTCTTGACCACACGAACAAAATCATTTGTGAATTTGTTACATTAGGTGTTTTAAATTTGTGTGGCAATTATCTTCAATACATGAAAAAATTAAGGAATATTTCTAATGAAGTAAAATGACATTTGAATTCATCCATAAGAAATATCTGAAATTTTTTCAAGTCTATCCAAAAGTGACTTATAATTATGTAGGAGGATTATTATATTCTGATGGATTTGTCGTATGTTCTCATTTTTCCTCAATTAGTTGCCTTTAGAATTGAAATTTATAAAAGTCGAAATTTTTATTAGTAAATGATAAAATAATTTTTTTAAAACTATTACTTTGAAGGAAATAATTAATTGGAAAAAAATTCGTTTAATCTTTTTTCCTAATGTAATTACAAACAAGAAGAGCAGTTAAAGATATCAAGTTTATTGGTACAAAAAACCTGCGCAGAAATATTACCAAAATTAGACTAAACCATTTTTTATCTCTAATTTTTAGTTCAATTAATTTACTATATGAAATTGAAGATTATCATTTACATCTGGATTGTTATAGTCTTTTTATCAAATACGAGATCGTTCAAATGTGACTTCAATCGATTAAATTACGGTTGAGTAATATGACAATTTCTTGTTTAGTTTTTCTTATCGATTTAAAAAATAAAGGAAATATTGATATTTTCAAACAGCTCGATTTCGGCTTCTATGATTGAAAAGGCGCCCTCTTTTAATTTCGAGCCGTTTTTCTTTATGTCTACTTATTTTAAATTTGATATGCGATAAGTCATATTTCTGCGCTCTATGCGATACTGCTAATTTTTATTTTTTTCGTTCTGTGTTCTTTGCCAAGCAAAAAGTTTACTGTAGGTATAAGAATACCAACACATGGCCGTATTTTTCTTTTTTGCTTTTGCAGATAGTCGAAAGAAAAAGTATGACGTCACATTTCAAATACGAGATACAACTTATTTATACTTTATTGCAGATAGATATCTTGTCAGCTGCAAAATATATCTTTCAAGATCATTTTCTGATGCTTTTTTTGTTGTTTTGAGTCTTTCATACACATACTCTCTCTGTTTAACTTGATTACTGTTTTTAACCTTTTCAATACTCTTTAAGGAAGTCAAAAATCAACACGTAGCAAAGGTAAAGCAAGGAAGACAGGCGTTTTTTTTCTTTCTCTTTTTCTTTTTGGATACATAAGATTACAAGTCATGTTGGAATTTTATTTTTACTTGCCGGAGTGAAAGAAATAAAAGCTTACATATCTATTTGTAAAAGTTGCACAGATACTATTAAGTCGACGAATTGAATAAAGCAATGCTTGACGAAGTATCATCAAGTCTTGAAGATTTAGCAAATGAGCTATGGCTTGAAGTTTTCGATTATCTGGACTGGATCAATCTTTTTTTGGCATTTTATGGCATTAATAAACGAATTAATCAACTTCTTATGTCTATTAAAGTTCTTTCGCTATATTCATCTTACTTAATCAATCGTTCCAATTTCATTTACATTTTCTATAAGGTGAATTTCATTTTATAATTTTATTCGTCTTGTCTTCATGTTTCATAAGAAGAGATAAAACAATTTGTTTCGAGTAGAATTGAACAGAACATTCTATTGTAAATTTCTATTTTACTATTTTCTTTGAAAATGGAAATAAGGCGCCATTTTTTAGGAAATTCCTGTGGAAGAATTTAAACAAATTCAACATTTTCAGTTGACATATGATAATCCATATGAAGACACATTGAATATTGCGAAACATTTCAAATCATTTTCGAGCCTTGTTTCGTTCACTATTAATGCCAACTGTGATGAATCTGGATGTAGTAATGAATTCGCATCGATTTTATTCCACCAACATTGTCCTTTTCTTCAACGATTGTATCTAGATGGAAATGTATTTGATCAGGAATTACAGATTCTGGACAATGTATGTACGTTTCATTTTCCATCTCTTCTCTACATACATGTGAGTAAACTTCATGTGATCATGGCTATTCAACTTTTGGATCAATGCCCTCAACTTCGCGCTTTTTCAGCAAAACTTTATGGTGATCCGATGAGGGATAATACAACATCTTCTATCCTGTTACCGACTCGAATTCGTATGGGTCTTATAGCAATGAAGAAACTTAGCTTAGGAGAAGACAATGATTTTGGAATTGAGTTTGGTAGTACATTTCTTGAAGTTCTATTGTCATGTTGTCCCAATCTTCGTACATTCATCCTTGATGTTCGTTGCCGCAATAATTGGGAACAATTACTAGACGCAGATTGGTGGACACATGTGTTCGTTTCAAACAATAAACTAAAGCGAATTTCTCTTCACTTACAATGGTCGACACGTACTTATACACTTAATTGGCAAGAAGTATTTCAGCGTTTCCAGTCATCATCCTTTTTCAATCAACTCAGAGCCGATATTAGATATGACTTCAGCAGTGAATTTATGCGCCGTCTGACATATGACCTCTATATCAAAAATTGAAATAAATCAATTGAGGAAAAGATCAACCTATATTTACATCGAATACAAATCAATAAGCTTATTCTAAATTTTGCTTTTCAGCAATCGATCTTCTAGTCGACATGTGAGAGTTTAATTTTTCAAAATAATGGATTGTGCTTGAGAAAATAAAAAAATGAATTAATGCAGTTGTTCAGAATCACCGACGCATAGAAATAAAACCAATGACAAGATTGAGAGAGCGAAAGAACCGAGAGGGTGGAAGAAAAGGATAGGAAAACCTTCGAGAACTACCCAGCTAAGTGTTCGATGATTATGATTGCATTGCGTGTGTTGATAAAGGTGAGAAATAATTTAAAGGGAATTCGTGAGGACTGTCTACCAATTATCTTCTTGGCAAATAAGGCTAATTCCTTAATAAGGTTGTAGTCTAATGGGTGTTTGGAATCTATAGATGGAATTGCAATCATCGATAAAGATAATTTTGAATCCTAGAATGGATATATTTCTTCGATAGAATGTGATTCGACAATATCAGTAAAATAGAAGACTTTTCCTACACACTCTTTACAGTGAAATTTTAAGTGATTGAATAAACATATTGAATTAGATGCAATCTGGTAGAATTTATAAAAGTTATTTCCTATTTTGATGTTAACGATAAGCTATTATCCGTGACTTCCGGGTATTAGTAAAATACGCTCTCATTCACTCTCACCCACTCTGATCGCCGTTTAATTCGAAGATAGCATCGATCAATAGATATAAAATTCTCCATTCATGAGACCCCACTCTGACCCATTTCCTTCAATTAGTCTTAGAGAAAAGAAGTAAACATTGTTTTCATGGATCCACTCTCACCCACATCCAGCCACACACACACACCCCACACCCACATCTACACCCTCGAGTAAAGTGGGAAGATATTCTCGACAGATGAGATCAAAATTACATGAGTACATCGACCGAAAGTCGAGATCATGAATGACAAAATAAAGAAAAAGAAGAGCATTAAATCGACAATCGAGATCATGAAATGCATAGATCAAATCACTGGTAGATAGGAAATTGAATGTATCAAGTCTTCCATTATGTAATCTAGGAATAAAAAAGAACAGCTTTTGCATAGAAGACAGAAGGAAGGAATATGAATCATTTTTGTTATTTTTTCTTTCTTCTAATATGCAAGAAAAAAAATGGATATATTTTCAACATAAAAACAATGTCATAGTAGTATTCTTATCGTGCTCGTCAGGTAGTACTGACATGTGCAGGTATTTTATAAAACATTATTATTTAGAGGATTTGACAAATGACTCGTGTCGTTCCATTGGAAAATCGACGTGATCTACGTCCAGATCACATGGATGAAAACATCGAAGACATTACTCTGATCTGGTTAGATCAGAATATCGATGATTCACCAAGCAGTAAATTAACACAATCATTATTATGTGAATTGAATGACTATGTTCGATTTTATACAGACATTCATTTATGTATTGATTATATCAAAACGATTAGGAATTTTTCGAAAATGGTGTATCAATCATTCATCTCCAAACGATTCATTCCTTTACCTACTCGAAAATGTCATTTATGAATGATCATTTATTGACGAAAAAGTTTTCCTAATTACTTCTGGTTCATTAGCCAAAGATATTCTTTCCGAAATCCATTAATTCGTCAGAGGATTTTTTTGTCTTTTGACAACAGAGTAGAAAAAAGAAAAGAAAATACTACTGCTTATAAAATCATAATTACCATCTTTGAATAGAAAAGAACAGTATATTTCAAATCAAGAGACATCCTTGATCTAGAGGATCATGTGTATTCTAATTTTCTTATATTTAATACAATCGAAGTGTCACTTATGTCGCTAATCTATATTCATCGAGCGACTGTTACAATTCCGAGAGAAGAAAACTTTTATAAGCAATGATAGAATATATGTTGCAGTTGAGTTTGGAATCTAGTTCAGATTGGAATCACTTAGTTCACTTTGTTTGTTTAAAAATTTTTCTAACACATTCAAGAAAACTGGTTTGTTTCTTGTCAAATTTATATTTAGTATTACTTCTCGAACGATAAAAAGTATCTTCGTACCGTTATTTTGTTGATGAAAAACCATTAGTCGTTCTATTTATTGTTTTCTTCTAAAAGTAAATGTTACTCATCATTTTCCTTATATTGTAGTTTCTATATCGGTAGTCGGGACATGGGGACACTGAACGATTGGTTGAAATGAAATCGAGAGTACTTGAGCTATTTGTTTCTATAGAATAGATTTCTTTGTTTTCGAGCTGCGGGACATAGGGATATTGAATGATTGGTTGAAACGAAATCGAGAGTATTTGAGTTATTTGTTTTTAAAGAATAGACACTTTTCTCGAGTTGCGGGACATGGGGATATTGAATCATTGGTTGAAATGAAATCGAGAGTACTTGAGCTATTTGTTTCCATAGAATAGATTTTTTTTCGAACTGCGGGGCATGGGGACATTGAATGATTGGTTGAAACGAAATCGAGAGTACTTGAGCCATTCGTTTCTATAGAATAGATTTTTTTCGAGCTGCGGGACATGGGGGCATTGAATGATTGGTTGAAATGAAATCGAGGATATTTGAGTAATTTGTTTCTATAGAATAGATTGTTTTTCGAGCAGCGGGACATGGGGATATTAAATCATTGGTTGAAACGAAATCGAGGATATTTGAGTAATTTGTTTCTATAGAATAGATTTTTTTTTCGAGCAGCGGGACATGGGGACATTGAATCATTGGTTGAAATGAAATCGAGAGTATTTGAGCTATTTGTTGTTATAAAATAGTTTTTTTTCGATGCTCGTGATATGGGGGGATTGAATGATTGGTTAAATGTTTAGTGTTAGCAAATTCGTTGTTAAATAATTGAAATTGAATGATTCATGCTACTTAGAATAGCACCCGATCTGATGTTGAATTGATTGATTAATAATTGAACTATAAACGGATTGTTGATTGTCTATTCGATAGACTTATTATGAGAAAGTTTATCAATGTACAATTGTAGTTGAGAATTAAGAATGCCCATTTTTTGTAAGAGATTCACATGAAAAAAAATTTATGTAATTAAAAACAAACAGACATAGAATGTGTTTCTTGATTGAATGTTCCATGGCAACGAACATCAATCTATTAATTATAAGGAGATGAATAAAATTCATAAAATTCTAATACTCACTAAATAAGAATAGTTAAAAATGAAAATTTCCTATATGTAAATATTTTAAAATAATTCAAAATAAATCATAGAAGTTCGACCAATCATTTAGAATCGCTAAAATTACAAAAGTTGAATACAATAGTAAACGAACATTAATTATCGTGTGACTCATATGATTAACATGCATTCCAAACTCAACTGAATTCCCATGTCAACTGTGACATATATATTTCTTCCTGTTCTATTGACTCTATAAACTTAATATTTACTTTGACCTTTTTTCTTTTCATATACAATTCAATACGTGATAGTACACTATTCCTTCTCGTTTATTCTTCTCTATTTATGATGAATACCTTTACCTTCTATATGAATCTTTTCGTTTATTCGTAGATGTATGACGAAGAAGAAGAAACAGTTTAAATGGAGCAACAATCATCTGATACTCGCATTTTCGTACAAGATAAGTCAATAACAACAAAACATTCACCGTATTTTCTTTTACTTATTTCACCTGTTACATGGTTCAAATGTTTTTCACTCATCTTTTATCGTACTCAAGCACGAACACGATCCATTGCTATACTTCAATATTTCGTTCTTCTATTAACAGTTCTTCTCATGACTGTTTCCTGTTATCTTTCTTACGTATTAGCCGATGATGGAGGTCAATATAATCTATATCTATCTAATGTTGCTTCAAATATTACATCAATGAACGAAGGAAGAAATTTATTTAATAAACTTATCTGGCGAACTGTGCTCAAGACATTTTTTCTTAGTATTGTTTTTGGTCTTATTCAAGCATGTAATTATTTCTTAGCTGCTCAATGGCGTCAACGGCTTTGTGATCGTTTTTATGAATTATCATTTCGATCACCTAATGGATGTGTCTTATATGATATGGTACAAACAAAAGATAACATATATAAAGTGTTTATTAATGATATAAAACAGTTTACAAGTAGTTTTGCTTCAGTACTTTTTGGATGTTTGTTTTTCAAAAGTATTATTTCTATGTTTGCTTTGATTATTACTGCTTGTGTGTTTATTGTACGTACAACAGATGGAGATTTAAGTGGAATTTTGATTTGTTTTATAGCATTTATTTTTTGTATATTAATTACATTACCTGGTGCACATTTATACAATTCGAACTTAGTAACACAAGTAAGATTACATTTTTTTTTTCAAAAATTTTGTCAGATTTAATCTCTATGTTTAGTCCAAACGAAAAGGTCATCTTCGTTCGTATATACAACGTATTCAAACCTATGCTCAATGTATCGTACTCTATGGAAGTCAACGAGTAGAATTCAAATATATTCAACAATTATTATCAGCTGTTTGTAATTCTATGTTGATCGGATCTATCAGTTTTGCATTAGTCAATTTTCCTCTTCAGCTGTCATGTAAGCAGAGGAAATGATTTTCAATATATATTGTGAATAAAATCTATAAAAATTTCTTACAGTTGTTATTACTGGATTATGCACATATACTATACCTTCTGTTATATTCTTCTATATTCGAAAAACACAAAGTCCAGAATTAGCACGAAATCTTTTAAGTAAGTAGATGATCTATAGGAAAAGAAATAGTTTTTTTGTTTTATAGCTGTCATTCCATTCTATTCTGTCTTGATCAATCTTCTGAGTCAATTAATATTTATCATAGAATACGCGTTAATCACAGTTACAATGGGTGATCATCTATGGATGGCACTTAATCATCTAGAGAAACTAACAAAACAGTATCAAAGACGAATCGCTTACGAACAAGAGAGTGGTATAAGACAAGAAGATGCGAATATGTTTATTCTTCGTCATCTGAATATCTCTATTCCAAGTGAAGTTGTTTTCTTTTCTAATAATTGATCTTTACAAATTTCTTTGGTGAATTAGATGTTGTAGGCGCGCCATTATTACAAAGTGAAGTAAATCTCGAGGCTAGACGTGGTCAATGCGTTCTTATTTCTGGACCAAGTGGATGTGGAAAAACATCATTATTTCTTATTTGTGCTGGACTTCGATCCATTGATGCCAAACAGATCATATTACCGGCAAGGCATCATCTTCTATTCATTCCACAACGATCCTATCTTCCACATGGTAGTTTACGTTTTCAAGCTCTCTTTCTTATACATGATCAAAGTACCATCAATGATAAAGATCTCTTTCAATTGTTTCATTCAGTCAATCTACTGTATTTACTAGAAAGATATGCTTTAGATACAGTAAGTAATAGTAGACATGGTTGTTGTATTAATCGATACGAAGTTTTGTTGTTTCAAGATTGCTGATTGGTCAATGGTACTTTCTCTGGGTGAACAACAGCGTTTATCCTTTGTTCGCTTATTAGCTCTTTTTACTTTATCACCAAACAGAAATCAATTAATACAAGAAACTTTAGTTTTTCTCGATGAATCAACGAGTGCTATCGATCTCCAGACGGAACATAAGATTTATTTACACTTAACTCAACTTTGTGTGTGGTTTGTTACTATCTCTCATCGTTCGTCACTTGTTCATCTACATACAAAGTGGTTACAATTTTTTCCAGATAGAAATAGTCAACAGACAATAGAACTGGAGCGGTTTGGATCAACTAATAAAGATTATGATGACATTAAATCAGAAAAACAAGAGAAAAACGAGTCGAAATCAACAAAAACACAACAATTTCAAGTGAGTTTGGTACGATCTTCAATTCTTAAGTCACTATTAAGTTATTAAAATCAACCTTTGTCTGAGAACTCTTTCGTTGTTCTATTATTCAATATTTTAGAACGACAATGTGGTAAACAACTGTGGTAATATACCAGTAATTTATAAAAAAAATACTTCTGGATGGAAACTCATAATCGATATATTCAAATTTATGCATTTACCATTTCAATCTAATGATCAAAAGTTGATAATCGAAGTAAGCAATAATATTCTGAAGAATCAGTCAGTATTTGTTTTCTATAATAGACAATCATCGATTGGCTATTGAGTCTCATTATGGCTGGTATTAGTACATGGTCTTTTTATATTTTTGTTGATCGAACTGCAGCACTATACAGTGGTCTTTCCCATTATGCTAGTGGTTCTATCACTCTTGATGAAGCAAAACAATCAATCAAATCAGATATTGTTAGCTATATACTTATTATAATAACAATACCTATAACGTATTCATTAAGTGTTGGTGGTGGTCGAGCATTAGCCTCACTCTATACACGAAGACAATTAAATTATCTCTCACGTTTACTCTTAGATGCTTTCGAGATAGATAATGCAAATAATCTATTGTATTACAGTAGACATATGTCAATGATACCTAATTTTATTTCACATGAGATTGCTGAACTGAATACTGAAGTATTCAATATATTATTTGGACAAGTATACTACGTTGGGATCATAGGTAAGATCTTATAACATAGATATGATTTATTTGAAATCAAGTTTATCATTTGTACAGCTCAGTTTGCTTTAAACATCGTTATTTCCGTTGTTTTGAGCAAACAAAACGGTGGATCTATTGGAAGTCTGATCGTTTATCTCTTCGGATTTGGTTTTTTCTTCATTACAAATCTTTTTTCTGCTCTTTTCAAAAAGTGGAATGTGCATAATGAAGCTCAGTTCGTTCAATTTCTGAATGCCCATAAAAGAATTGATCTTCAAGCTGAACAGATTGCTTTATCGGGAGAAGAGATTCGTCTAGCTGAAGAAAATGAACTTCGACAAAAACTCGATTCGTCAATTCATTCTCAAATTTGTAATGGTTACTTCTTGTCCATTATTGTTGGCGTCACTAGACTATCTATTGAAAATGTCTATCTCGTTAGTTATGGTATACCGGCAGCGATCTTCTTTCATACTTATTACACTGAAGGAGTAAGAGATGCGACAACAGCACAAATATTTATTACTTTAAGTGTATATATGTTCAATCTCTACTCTTCTGTCAGCTACATCACTTATTATAGTGATCCTCTAACACGTATTCAATCGATTGGAATTCGTATCATCGACACTCTTGGTAAGTAAACATTCAAATGATAAGCATAGGTTTCAATATGACTTATTAAATCTATTTGAGAATAACAGACAGAAGGAATAATGAGCACTTAATTTTAGAACAACTTCGAGAAATTAATATATATTATCGTCGTTTGGCAATCGAAGAGCAAGAACAAAAGCAACGTGTGTATATCGAATCGAAAATGAATGAACCATCCGTAGTGTTCGAACAAGTAGATGTGCGAATACCTCACTCATCTCATGTTCTTATATCAAACATCAATCTAACACTTTATTCTTCTGATAATCTTATTATCACTGGTCCTTCTGGTTGTGGCAAGTCTTCTCTACTTCGTCTTCTTGCAGGTCTCATTTTCAATGAAAGTAATAATAAGAATTCAGTATTACGTATAATTCCACGTCACAATATCATTATTCTCTGTCAACAGTTACATCTAATCCGAGGAACGCTGAGAGAACAACTTTCCTATCTTCGTTTGGTATAAATATAATGTCTTCATACAACGTATAATGACATCTTTTTTTGCTCTAGGCGCATGGATTGAGCTCAATCACAGATGACAGTTATGCTCAACAACTTCTCAATGAGTTTAATCTAGGTCATCTTATAGATCGTTATTCTATGGACGGAAAGAAACACATTTGGTCCGAACTCCTATCTATTGGAGAACAACAACGACTAATGATGGTCACTGCATTTCTTGTTGGCACAGAAACTATACGATTATTCATTCTTGATGAGACAACATCAGCTTGCGATAAACACATGGAAAAAGCTATCTATGAACATCTTCAACGATTAAATGTACAATTTATATCTATTTCTCATCAAAGAAATCTTCGCAAATATCATTCACAACAAATGACGATCGATACTAGACATATGTCAATCCCAATACCAGTTCTCAAAACGAGATTTTAATAGTTTTCTAGTATTCGTTCAGGAAGATAGTGTAGTTTTTTCTCAAAGCTTTGTTATAGAATAGAATGATTACATACCATAGTTGAAAAAAAAACGATTCGTTAGGGTATGAGTGACGATCGATGATGGGTGAAAGAATGCTCTCACCCTCACCCTCAAGATACAATGTGTCCTATGGACTGCCAATCTTGGTTATGTCCATTACGGCCATTACAAAGGCCATATCTAAAGTCCGTTATATCATTTGTGATGGCTATGATAAAAATGAGTTTCCCGGAAAATGCTATGACGCATCAAATCGTTTACTAATAATAATTAGATGATGAAATGATAGAAAATTAAAATCATTTGGAAGATCACGAGGTCCTTTTTCAATACAAATAATACAAATATTTGAATTTTCACTTAATAACGATGCATTTCTTTTATCAATTTTTTTAATAATAATGATGAGTGTAGTGATAACTAAACCAATCAGAATAAATATCAGTATAAGAATTATCGAAAGACATTACGATTGATATATTGTTTTATTTTTGATATTATACGATAAATGAAATTAATATTCATAAAAACTTTTTGTTCATAACTGTCGTAAAGATATTTATTTCAAATCATTTCTTTTCTTTAAAACATACAAAAAAGTTGTTAAACTAATGTGAATATTTTTTTGATATAGATTTCCAAGTAGCATAACGTTTATTATCAAAATCTTTTCTGTCATTTCCAGTTTCAAATTCTTCAAGTTTAACAGATCGATCAGTTGGTCTTCCAACTCCTAAAATTCCATCTTTGAACCATTTATGTGTAACAAGAAGAGGTAATGTATTCCAATGAACTTCACAACCAAAATGTGCTTTTTGTTTTAATTTTTCATTTGGTAAATCAGCATTGATTATAAATCTCATTTTCCATTTTGTTCCATCACCAGTTTGTCCTTCAAAAATATTTTCAACTTCAACAACTTGATTGGAAGGACCATTAACATATTGATGAAAATTATTTGTAGGACCTGAGTTTTTTAAAATTTCAACAATCCATGACCTAGCTTCACCCGGTGCATCACCACGTTGTTTATTTTCAGCACATTTTACCATATCTCGAACCACTTTTTCATTCGCATCTTTAAGACTACTTGCATCTTCATCGGACATTTTTTTTTATCCAAATAAAAATGATTATATGTATCTAATTCTCAGACTCTGACGTAAACAACGATTCTACCAATCAGATTTGATCTAATAAAAAGAAAATCTTTCTATCAAAGACTAGCGCCATCTTTCTTGATATACTTCAATAACAAAAAAAAACATTATCTTTTCCTATTATAAATTTTTAAATAAAACCAACATTGATTAAAATATCAGCACATCGAAGATCATAGGGTGTGGGTGTGGATCTCTATTGAAATAAGAGTCCCACACCCACAATTTTCTTAGCGTGTATTTTTTACTGATCCCGCAGATCAGTACCAATATCATTTTTCAGTCGCCTAATATCCGAAGAATTTGCCGGCACAAGCCCAGTGGACATTCGCCAATTGGCTAAAATGAGGACAGTAAATTGGCGGAAGATCAATGGACACTCGCCAGTTGGCGAATGTCAGGAAGGTACATTGGCGAAAGTCCAAATTGCGAAAGTCTTATTGGTGAACTTCCGGTAACTCGAATTTTTCACTTTCGTTAAATGTACTATTACTGCAGTGAATATGGTGAGGAAGGCAATGATCATCCAAAGCGAACACATGCAGACGAATGATGGTTCTTTTGTGCAACAACGATAGCAATTTTTACAGCATTCTAAACAAGAATCACGCAGGCCAGAACATTTGCCTTTTATACTTCTTTCATATCAAAAGTTGCGTCTTGGTTTAGGATTATAAGATTGTATTGGTAAAAATGGATGATTTGGTACAATAGGCGTCGGTAATGGAATATTTTGTTCTATTGTAGAAATTCTTGATAGTTCATGATTAGTATCTGAAGTAGGATTATTTATTCGTCTTACGAGGGAGCATTCCCAAGTGATTTGCACCGTTTTAGCTCAAAGTGTGCCCACATGAAGATCTCAGTAAGACTAGAGAAAGTCTAAGAGGGTTCGTGCCCATGGGCCTTTGGAGCAGAGTTATGCAACTTTTACTGAATTTTAGACCTATTTTAAGGTATTGACTGGAAAATCAAATAACGGAGTTCCGGTCTAAAATTTTGCTCATAGATAGGTATAATCATCCTTAGAATATCCTGAAAATTTCAACCGAAAAAAATATTCCTTTGTCGAGATATTGAATTCCCAAAAAATAGTCGTTTGCCACAGACATTTCACAAAAATCGAGTTTACTTGAAAGTTCAATATCTTGACAAAGAAACATTCTTTTCGGTTGAAACTTTCAGGATATTCTAAGGGTGATTATACCTATCTATGGGCAAAATTTCAGATCGAAATGCCGTTATGTGATTTTCCGGTTAATAGCTTAAAATAGGTCGAAAATTCAGTAAAAGTGGCATAACTCGATTCCAAAGGCCCATGGGCACGAACCCTCTTAGACTTTCTCTACTCTTACTGAGATCTTCTTGTGGGCACACTTTGAGCTAAAACGGTGCGAAGGGTGTGGGTGTGGGTGTGAGTTTCCTCTTTTCATCCACATGTACCCACACCCATACCCACACCCACACCCACACCCACACCCACACCCACACCCATACCCACACCCACACCCACACCCACACCCACACCCACACCCACACCCACATCTACACCCACACCCACATCTACACCCACATCCACACCCACACCCTTTAACGAAAGAAATTCAAGCGAGATGTTCGAGAGGTATGCACTGAATCAGAAAACTTGATCGAATAGATATTCAGTTGCAATATCAATGTATCAGATTTTGGAATATTTGAATTTCAAACGATATTATTTGTTTTCATGTCAGCGTTGCTTTTTTTGGTTGATGTTGACGTGGTGTTCTTTGTCTTTTTTCCTACGATGGGAGTCGTTTTATCACATTTAGTTTTCATCAAAAAGAATTTTTTTGTTTTAAGAGAACAAGAAGAAATGGCGTGAGAAGAAAAATGAAGCCAAAGAATCAAAAAAAACAGAAAGCGAGAGAGAATCTCGACACCGAGCATAAATAGCAAGAGAACGGTCTTGTTCTCTTTCAGAAGGCAGCAATCCGCAAAGAAACTATGACGACACAAAAATATGGTGAGTTCTGCATCTATTCAGCGTGTGTGTGCGATCTCGTCATCGTTGTTGAAAAAAAAAATGAGAAAAATTTTGTTCAAATTGTTTTTGTACTTAATCGTTTCACTGGAAAAGGCAATGAAAATTTCTGTAACTTCTTTGATTAGATGATGAATCTCCAATGGAGATTGATGCAACTAACGATGCATTTGCATACGATGACCAAACAACAACAACATCAGTTGATCCAATTGATCAAGCGATTGGTTTTTCGCCAAACAAACAACGGGAACTACCGGTGAACTTAAGTCAAACAGACCTGCTCGAAGAGCCCATCTCAAACCAGTCTATCAACGACGACGATGATGATGAAAGGTAAGATTTCAATATCCTTATTACACAAATAATCATTTCAGAAGAGTCGATTTCGAAGTTGAAAAATGTTTTACTCGCTACCTGTTGTTGATCTAACGAAAAATCACCAGATTTCTTTGGTTTTGGAAAGATCTTTTGAAGATTAAATCTATCGAAAATTGAATCCGTTTCTGCTTGTAGAGGTGTGAGTGAAAGCCATGGATACATAGATCATGCAAGTTACTCTTCAGATAGCTCAAACGTGAGGTTTCCACAATTTCGCGCTGAGTTCGAAGAAGATCAATGGTCACAAACATATCACAGGACGGGGAGATTCTTCGTCCGAAAACAATCTCGAAACGATCCTCAAAGACGCAATGTTCATGCAGATGATATTGCACTGCACTATCTGGAGACACAATTCGGTAATGTTGAAACCGAAGAATCGCTTTTGTATCATGCAACAAGTTGGGAGTCGGCTATAAAGAAGGTAGAAGAAGGTCCCCAAATGTCTCTAGGCCCTTTGGATCTGGCTTATCACGGTGCTTTCTATCTGAATCCGAACTATCGTGATTGTCATGATTGGTTTTACACCAGAAATAGTAAATTCCAAGGCAAACATGCAATGTTAATTTACAAGTTTCATCCAGAGACGCTGAGTAAGAAGGGTAAACGAGTTCTGGAAATAAAAAGATGGAAAAACCTGACAGGAGAAAGAAGCCAATGCTCGGGTAAATTTGAAGATGATTGGACTTATACCTATCAAAGCTCCGATACGGATCATATTCACAAGTCAGGTGACAACGCTAGAATTCGGAAGAGATGGGACAACGAGCTGGCTATGCAATTGATCATCTACACCGAAAAAATGTGCAGAAAAATACATCGTTGTCTTATTGGATGTGTCTATTACGAGAATTGTGATGCATCAATAGACGAATTAGATGTTTCCAATCGAATTCTCGATGATCATCAATCGGATTTAGAAATGAATTCCTCTGCTTCTTCTCGTATTCGAAGTCAATCCACTCAACATCAATCCAAATCCTACAGAACCAAACGACGAAAATAAACAACAATCGCAAATGTGGACATTAGATGCTTCAATCTCCACGAAAAAAAAGATTTTCAATCTCTTCCCTTTTTAATGTAACATCATCTCTGCTTGGTAACAAATTTTTTAAAATTGTCAAAAAATAGATTTTAATCTAGAGAAGATCTATGTTGATCAGATCTTCATCCTTAAAGATAAATCGAGTTATTTCTCATTCGAATGACTAAAGAAATCTACTGATCATCTTTTCATTAAAAAATATTAATATGTCCAGTGTGGGTGTGGGTGTGGGTGTGGGTGTGGGGTGTGAGTGTGGGTGGGTGTGTGGGTGTGGGTGCACGAGTGTGCGTGCGGGTGCACGAGTGTGCGTGCGGGTTTGATGAGCGAAGTGCCCACACCTTATGTCACAAATCTCTTGTTAAAAAGTGTCTATTTATGTATAGGTAATATAGATCAAACAAAAGAATTGAATATTTTTAATATCTATTTTAGTACTGTGTGAAGAGGCTCGTGAATTATTAAAAATTTATTAAAAAAAAAGATATCTTAATTGTATTTCAGTTTATAGATGAATAGCTTATTGTTTTGTTATAGACGATCAGTCTTTCAGATCATTATGTAAAGAATTGAAAGGACTTTCCAAGATATGACATAAGGCAACGAAGAAATTATTTTTCTTTCATGAAAGGGAATAAAAAAGTACAAAATCGAAATGATCATAATTGTTTTTCATTATTTTCTTTTGAATATACTTATTCTCCATTGTGTATTTTAAAATCATATTCCTTAGAGGAACCTTTTTTTACGCTCTTGACCTGCACAGACCTCAAGATTTGTCCATGAACGCATAAAAATCGTATGCATCAGCATTCTTGCAACGTCCAACTAGAATAGAATAATAACACTAAATCTATTCACGATGAAAGAATACTCTTCATCACGTAGGCTGTCTGAGACTAATAACTCTCATTCAAATTTGAGATGCTTTTCCATTGACGTTTTCGCTTCTCAATGCACTCCTTGTGTTTATATTTCGAGTGTAAATGTTACTTAGGTGTCCTTTCGGTTATTTAAGATGAAGAGAAACATGAAAAATTTTACAATTTACTTCTCGCTCTGAAAAATTGACCAGATTTTTTGGTCATCACAATATATTAAGTTCTTCATTCTGTTATCTGAACAAATAACTTTTATACATTATCTAATAAATCCAATCATTTGTTTTTTTAATTATTTCTTTTGTGCTCTATGTTTTGTGATATTTTTTGCAATGAAATCAACAGAGATGTAATGATGATGATAGCCGATACTATGGTTACCAATCTACACCGGTAATCAGTTTTTCACCACCATTCATCATGAAAAAGAATTTACTCTTATAATTTCTCAATTTGATGTTTGTACTAAGGAAAGTGTTTTTTTCGGGAAAATATTGATTTTCTATAAAGTTTGACCAAAGATAAGCAGCAAAGACAAATCTGAAATTGGGAATCAGTTTCTTAAAATTGTATGCTTTATTTTTTGGTCCACTCCTAAAAGAGATTTTTCCAAGCTTGAAAAAATTCAGTATGAGGTTTTAAGACAATGATTGCGGATTGAGGTTCCTCGATTCCGATTACTTTTGGTCAAACGTTATAGAGAATTAATATTTTTCCGAAAAACACTTTTCTTAGTAAAAAAAAGAATCAAATTAAAAAATTGTAATAGTAAACATTCTTCCAAGGCGAGTGCCAGTGGAAAATCGGTTATCAGTTTTGATCGGTGAAACGGTAATGATGTACCAGTCAATAATCGTCACTATAACTTCTCTAGAAATCAATCATGGAATCTATATTTTTATTCGTGTTTCTTATACACTTTTGGCATTGAAACAATTGTCAGAACAGAAAAGGTCTCCAACACCCAAGCATATTACATGAGCATGAACAAGAACTCAGGCGCGTGAGTAAAAAGTTTAAGCAATGAAATAAGAAATTCAAGTTCTTGAGTTTAAAACGAGATCTCAAGATTTGTCCATAACGCATGATATTCTTGTTCCAGAAGCTCAAGTATCTC